CGCAACATCCCCCTACCCGCCAGCAGACGACATGGTCCGTGAAATCGTCAATGTTACATCCGAAGACATAACAAGACTCAAGACAATGATAGCGAACGAGGAGGATACGACGGTTATAAATCCGACGACTTTGGAGGTTCTTGGGGCGCACGTGTGGAGAGCAAGATGCCGAGCCTTGAAGCTTAATCCACAAGGCATCACCCTTTTCGGGCTGGCGGTTGGCATACGCCACCTGGTGAAGCCGCCGTTGCCAGAGGGATACTACGGCAACGCCTTCGTGAAATCCCACGTGGGAATGAGGGCTGCAGAGCTGGCCGAGTCTCCGCTCTCACGCATCGTCAAACTCATAAGGGAGGTGAAGAAAAGGGCCATGGAGGAGAGGTACAGTCAAAGTTGATGTATTATTTATAATTGAATGAGTTTATCAATAGGAAACACATTGATATATAAATTATATACGAATTGAAACTCTTGATAGGTACCTGATGGAGCAGTTGAGGGAGACAGAGAGAATGTTGAAGAAGAAGGCGGAGTTCGAAGGAGGGAATGGAGCGTTCATGCTGCTGACGGACTGGAGGCAACTGGGTCTTCTGCAAGAAGTTGATTTTGGATGGAAAGAGTCGGTGAACATAATACCGTTGGTTCCGCTGAATCTACCTGATATGTGTATATTCTTGCCTCCTTCCAAGATGGTGCCTTCCATGAAAGACGGCGTCCGGGTGCTGGTTACTCTCCCGAGAGCCGCCATGGCCAACTTCAGGCAAGAGATCATCTGTATGTGATGAAACATATGTATATCATTTGGTTGCATAATCTTCCTCTATCCTTGTTGGGAATGATATTAGATACTATGCCTTTGAATGTATCCTATTATATGTAAGATGGTTGTACTTACTTGCACGTTGCTCATTGTAATTGATTTCACCAACTAACTACATCTTCAAAATGTTCATCATGACTCTATCCTTGTTGGGAATTAACGAGGTATTTGTAAATGATACCGACCAACTCCTCTTATCAGGTTTCAGGATTCACAATGAGAAAACAGTCCTCTACCCGATCCCTTCTGTTAACCCGTAGGAACAAATATAACACAAGATAGTCATCCCTTTCCCTCCGCACATTTGTGCCACATCAGAAACGGAGATTGAGCATTGATGGATTCAGAGCTAAATAACCTTCGATTATTGATACCTACCCGCACCAGACCTAACTCCTGCCATTAACCCTTATATATAACTTCAAACACTGCTTTAGTGAGTGCTTTGCAAAACGTTGTTGAATTTTAACATGGACAGCCCAATAATATCATATCTGCTTGGCCACAAAACCTTTTAACATGTTCAAGAAGTCTGCACGCCTTTCACCGTCCAACCTCAATCACATCCGTTGTTTTCCCGCAATCATCGATATATAGATGCCGCCCATGATAGGATAAAAACTTCAAAATTTGTTTGTCCATGTATAAGCAAAGCTGTAATATGCAAAAGGGCATCACTACATACCTTGATCCTTTCTGATGGCGATATTTTTTGGCATCCTCAACTGCCTTGATGGTTCCTTTTAACTCTTCTGTTTTCCGAATTCTTGATTTGTCGCTGCCAAATACTTTTGATGATGCAGCTTCTAGGTTCTCGGCCCTTGCATGCAGTGAAGAGAGCTCTGATAACAGATACTGTAGTGCCAACAGGGCGCTTGATCTATCTACGAAAGCACCATGGACAGCCATCATTAAGCCAAGGTATTCGTGGATCATGTTTTGCAACATACATGAATATTTCAGACAAAAGAACAACTCAGAGCTGAGGAGTCACAAGCATGATTCCAGTGGATGATGAGACGAGGATCTGTCAATTAGATTGGTCTTTTGCGATGGTTTTGAACCAAGGTGAATGAATGAATGAAGGGGTTCGCAGAATTCAAATGTAATAGATTAAACCGAATTGCTTTTTGGAATCATTGTGCCATGTAACAAGAAATCAAGGACTCGTTTGGTTCTTCAGGAAATTCATAGCAACGAGCAAAATATCTACCAAATGTTCAGTAGAAAAATATCCGATTTGCGACTTTACCAAATTTTGACAGTCTGGGAATTCAATTCTCGGGGAAATCTGCTTTCTTTTACAGCTGCAGTTGCCAAATTCTTCTATCAGCAGCATAGATCCTTTGAATGCTGAAAACAGCTTCCTCATTCTCGAATTTCGTCAGCTTAATGAATGATAATCCTAGTTCCCCCATAGTCTTCCCCATCTCCTGCTGGGCTTTCACCAAGGACTCACGCCTCAGAAAACACAGCAACAAACCAAAGGGTTCAGACTAAATAACATATTTTGTGGATAAACAGACCAAATAATGATGCATAAATTAGCTAAAAAAGATAGTAAATTACCTGCTGTGAAGCATTGATGATTTGTTGCCCAAGATCCTGCATCTTTTTCTTTCTTTTCCAAGAATTCTTCATCTTCTTCGACGAAGGGTTGTTTCGACCCGCCCCAGACAATGGCTACTGACTGCTTCAGCACTTTAAACAATCTCAACAGATCCTTACCTCCCTTGGCCGGCAGAACCACCTCATGTGACGCCACTGCAAAGGCTCCACCTTCACCAAACAACTGTTTCGGCAGCTTCATTCATCAGCAGTTTGCCTTGCACTTGAAGAAACACCTTCAATTCGTCTCTCTTCCTGATCACGGGACGTGCAGCGAGCCTACGCAAGTATTTCTCCAAAGCAACTCTTCTCTGCTCCACGAACTCTCGTCTCTCT